GCAAAATTCTATCTCAGCAAATCATTACCTTTTACTTCTAAAAAGCTTATTGATGGCTGCATTGACACCTCCAAAATGTACAGCACAGAGAATGCTAATGTGAAAACTTATTTTATCTGGGCAAGATTCAGTTATTTACAATACTGGCTGGTTGGCAATGTTAGTTAGTTGACAGAGGCTGGCACAGTAAGATACAATGTCACAGAGACAGACAAGGACCAATTATTTCCTTTGGACAGTCTTCTCCTTGGTTTTAGTGTGATCCTTTTCCAATGTATTGTTCAGTGCTGAGAATTGCCTAGGAAGTTGACTTTGGCTGATTCACATTTTTCCCTTTGGGAAAGCACCAGGCAGGTGACGCACTGAGCAGCCAAGGGAATGCCTTCCAATGCCAGCTGCTCCCTGCTTCTTTCCTGGGATAAGGCAGAGGGCAGAGGAAGCCCAGTGGCTGGCTGGCACTCAGACAATCTATGTCCCAAGAATGTGCTGCTTGGTGGGTTGTTTCCCCAACCGTAGGACACGCTGGAATTCAATTTTATATTGAAAAAGGTTGCATGGATGAAATTTGTGCAAGAGAAAATGACAGGGTAATCTGTGATCAGAAAAAGACTTCTGGAAACTTATGTCAGCAAGTATGCACAAAGACATTTCCTGCAGGTTGATTAGTAAATGATCCACTTTAGCAGACTTCACTCAGTGCTACGGATGGAATGGCCTTGAAACTCTCCTACTTCCTTGGACATCCCTATTCTGAACAGAATAGCCATGATTGGGACAATGATTATTCCTAGGGTTCTAAAGGCTGTGTCATCCATTGGTTTGTGCTTATGGTCTGGATGAAAACAGGATAATGGTATCTGTGGCTCTCTTTGTACTATCAATACTCTTCCTTTCTCTGCCCCACATGTAGCCAGCCCTGCTGGACTATTTAGTAGATTCAACTGTCTAATTTCAACCCTCAAGTAATCAGAAAAAAAAAAAAAAGGTTCATAAACCCCTGGAAATTATACTTCAGAATTCATTATGCAGCAATAGATTGGACATGTTTAATCCTGTTGCTGGTTCTACAGGTCAGCAATAGCTCTAAGGCTCTTTCATAAGATAATCACATTTGATCAGGCTGCATTATACATTTAATTTGCACTTTTCATTTTTAAAATAATTCCCATCAGGCACAACCATTAAAAACGAATTGCAATTCATTTAAAGTAGTTAAGTAATTCAAAGATGTGTTTATTAAAAGAAGTGGGCATGTCCAGTAGGTAGGTAGGTAGACAGACAGACAGCCTTTTTTCTTTAAACAAAAAGGGATAGAACTAATTTAGGACTGGAAAAGTAGAATATAATCAAAATTGGTAATTTGGCCATTCCTAATCATTGGATGAGAGCCAGTCTAGTGCAGTGGATAAGGCACCAGGCTAGAAACCAGGAGACCGTGAGTTCTAATCCTGCCTTAGGCATAAAGCCAGCTGGGTGACCTTGGGCCAGTCACTCTCTCTTAGCCCTGGGAAGGAGGCAATGGCAAGTCACTTCTGAAATCTTGCCAAGAAAACTGCAGGGATTTGTTCAGGCAGTCACTGAGAATCGGACATGATTGAAAGGCAGAAAAAAGTATCATTGGATGGATGCAAACAACCACTACACTCCATTCTTAGCATGGCAACATTCACTCCTTTCGGCAAATGGACATTTCCTCTCACTGCTGGATGACTAAGGAGGTGAGATTTGTAATAAATTGATTACCTCTGAGCATGCATGCGGGTGGCTCCTCCTCCAAGGAGGGGATAGAAGATAATTTCTCAAATTCCATTTGATTCTCAGAATAATCCTATGCAATAACCTCCTGACTGAGTTGCTGCTAATGG